TGTAGATAGATTTTAGGAACTTCCCCTCAATTCTATTGGCTCGAACGGTTCAAAAGAGGTGTCAATCATCAAAATCGACCGAGGGGTTCCAGAGAAATGGAAAATGCACCCAAATGACCCCAGAAGTGTTTTTTTTTCTAAACCTCTAAAAAGGTCAAAGGTCACTTGTTTTGCATCAATCTTGATACAGGGTACTTATTAAATGTTATAGTTTGGATTCCTAAAGCTTTTAGTCTACTAACCTATCATTCAAGGGTGGTTTTCACTATAAGTAATCTTTTATTTTTGGACGGACACTATAATTTATATATTTTGCTTTTACTATGTTCAATCTGAATTTACTTTAAAATAAAAACATCTATATTGATTCTGATACTTCTACATCCAACTCACAGGTTTATCATTGTTTTGAGAAAAAAGATTATTAATTTAACCCTTTTAGAAGTGAAGTTATGGTCATTTGTTCTGGAAATGTCATTTTTGAGCCGGAGACCTGAAAAACAGGCTCAGGGCTCAACAGGTTAAATGAAATAACTGACCTGTGTCTCTGTGTTGTGTTTTCTGTCTTCGGAAGCTGAACGAGGGTGACAGTAAAGCAGGTGCGTGTATAGAGTTGAAAGTGATGGTGCAAGAGGCTCACAGCGCGCTGACTGACCTCCGCTGCCGCAACGCAGAGCAAGCGTTCAGAAAGGCTCTGATCATCCTGGACACCAGCACAGCCAAGGTAACAGAAGATTTAACACTTTGCACTTATGTTATTTTTTATTTTATTTTTTATTAGTCAATTTATTGAACATGTCAGAAACATATATTTTTATTTTTTATAATTATAATCATTTAACCTTTATTAGAATGATGGCATTTTTATTACTAATATCTTTGTATTTGTATTTCTGTTGTACCGATATGTTCACTTAGTTTTATGGGGCTTTATATTGTTGCATCGACTCAGTTGTCTCGGGTCTTATCTGTCGGAGAGAAATCATTATTTTTGTATTTATTTTTTTATTATCATACCTCCTTGTGTCTATCAACCTGATAAAATGTTATATTTTGTTGCATGTACCTGTAAAGCAGGGGTCGGCAACCCCTGTCACCCCTGGCACGCGTGGCACGCTAGGAATAAGTGTGCAAAATATTTAAATTATATTTTTCGGATCCTGAACGAGACCACCGGCAGAAGGAAGTCATGCACTCAACGCAGCGCAGAACTCCAGTCGACTTTCTGCTGCTTTCCTCCATGGTGAAACGATCAGGGGTGTAGCGCACTTCACACATTGCAGTACCCATAAGGAGCTGTACATGCCGCAGTTTTTGCGTGGCTGTGTCTTTAGTTGAAAGCCCAGTGGCGATCTGCTCATCCGTCATCGAAAATAATATTCTACACAGGGGCGGACTGGCCAACTGTGTGTTCTGGAGAATCACAGTATGTCCGGCCGTCAGCGAACCGAGCCGGTCGCCAGCGGGCCGTTGACGACCGGGCTTGGTTTGCTGACGACCGGCACCGCCCTTTATTTATTTAAATGTGTTTAAACGGCATCATGTAAGTTGCGCTGACAGACGACAGAGGTCCACAGCTTCCTCGCAGCGAGGCTCCCCCCGCTCTCAAGTTGTCAGTTCACGAGCGCCCGTCCCCCCGTTGACAGTTCACGAACGTCGGGACACTAATCAGATTTCTTTTTTTTTTTTTATTCATAACAAAAAGGTTGCTGACCCCTGCTGTAAAGTAACAAATAATCTGAGGGGAACGCCTTGTTTGTTTTTAACTTGTGATGTGTCATTTTGTAAAGCACAAAAGTGCTGTATAAATAAAGCTTTATAATTATTATGTGCCCTAATTCAGTTTTCCTTAATGCTGAACCACATCAAATATTAAGCCTTTTAAATATATGATTTGTTCTCCCTTGCAGGAAGTTGGTCTTTCTACGCTGGATGTTTTGTTGTTGCTGTACGGACACGCAGCAGCTCTGACCGAAATCGGCCAGCCTGAGGTAAATTAAATACATGAAGGACGATTTCCTCTAGTGCCGACATTTTGCCTTGATGAATTACTGTGAAGCAAAACTCCTCATGGATGTATTACAGGGAATAGAGCGTACATGATTAGTTGATCATAACTAAAATATTTGGCAACTGTTCTGACACTAATCACTTTTTATCCTTCGAATCCAGTCCTTTTTAAATAAGAGGATTTTCGCCTGTTTTTATCATATATCGTTGTAAACTAAATATTTGAGGGTATTTGTTTTTACTCTGGTTCAAACAAAACAAGAAATCTGAAGACTTCACGTTTGCTGTATTATTTTTTTTTTGCCTTTCGTAAATGTTAATAGATTAAGGCGAGACACTACAGGTGAATAGGGTAATTTTTTTAACTGAAAGATATCGGCTAGAAATGTCTCCAGTTAATTACTTACATTAAGACAATTGTTTTTTGTATTACAAGTTTTCTGAAATAGCATCTTTAAATATGCAAATGAGCCATAATCTCATTAAATATGCAATTGTTTTTTGTATAACCTTGCTTCGTGCAATCGACACTTATTGTCGTCTTCTATAAGAACGTTTTTTTCGCTGTTCTTTTGCCATTTTGAGATTTTAAATATCCAACGGAAAGCTAAACCAGGAAGTGTTTTGGCACACCACATGACGCATCTGAACGAATCACGTTGTCTGAAATTGACACAAGCCAATGAGATTTCGTTTCTTGGTTTAAGACCCCTTTGTACTTCCACTATTGGTTGCTGATACAAAGCAGCGGTGACGGTACTTTATGTTACGGTAGAATGCTAACTTTTGGTGAATTAAGGAGAAATCTACCGACGCAAATAGACAAACTATAGTAAAATAAACATCTAAATGTCTATTTTGTTACGTTTTCCTTCCAAAAGCCTGAAAGAAAACATGTTATGGAATCAAAATAGCTCAAAATCTCAAAATTAACCACTGCATGAAAAATGATGTTTTTGCCTGCCGTGTCTCGCCTTAACTGAGAAAAAATATTAGTAGATTGAAATATAAAGTTCTAGCCTTGATGTGGCTGTCATTATATTCAACATTTTTCATTGCCTTTATAAGGAATTATTATGACTGGACATAGAAAATAAAGTAAAAAATATGATGCCAATAACAAAGCAGAGGATATAGAATAAAAATGAAATTGAGAACTGTACGGAAATCCCTGTTGTTGCAGATTCTAATGTTTGTTTGCTTTTGTTAAAAACAGGAACTTGGAGAAGCACAAAAGCTTCTGGAAAAGATCAAATCATTTGAGGAGCGGACCTTTCAGTGTCTAGTTTACTACGCCACCGGGAGGGTGTTTCTCAAGGAGAACAGGTACGGCGGCTTCCAGTTTTCCCAGTTTTAGTTTCATTATGTCGCACCTTTTTCTGCAGTTTCAAAAATGTCCTACTCTTCCTCTTGTCCTGACAGGTTTACAGTGGCTCTGAAGCAGTTTTCAGATTCCCTGCAGACAGTCAAGAATAAAATAACGCCGGGTAAACTCACCTGGCCTTTCACCAATGAGATTGTCAAAGAAACGCAGCCGGACTATTTCAAGGTATGTCATCGTATGTTGGTGCATAAAGATGATATGACTCGAATGTGAGCATCGTTATAGCTATAAGAAGAATAATAATAACACCCACTCTGCTAACTCTGAATTTGACCAATTACAGGGTGTCCGCGGGGTCTTAAAAAGTATTAAAAGTTGATAAATCAATTAAGCGAAAATTAAGGCTATTAAACGGCATTTTCCAAGGTATTAACAAAACTGCTTTGATTGTGTAGTAAAAGCCACTTTCTATAAATTCAGATAAGTTGCAAGTATCATTAAATGTTAAGATGTTATTGCCATCTAACATTAAAGATTTACACGAATAGATATAGGAGTAGCACCTTCCATTTGATGCAATATAAATAAAAAAGACCATATCAAATAATCTGTACGAGCAAAGAATGTCAGAGTTGGGACTTCTGATTTATTGGGGTTTTTACTACTAACTTATTATTTCTGCATCAATTACGGGCTGGATCAGTTACATGGGTATGGGCGACACTCATTATTAATATACTCATCTGTTCACCTGTGTGAGGAGTGTGTGGAAGAGAGGGTCGCTCTATTTTTATTATTATTTAAGACATATATTTGTGGATGCTATAATAACTATCTTTATTAAAGCAAGATTTATTCAACGTATTTTTGGACGTCAGACTTCATTTTTGCGTCTGACAAAGTATAGCTTACACTTCTCCCTCTTTTTTGTTGGAATTCAGACATTTTGATAACATGTGTTTTCTGTTTTTTTAGGGAATGCTTGAGCAAGCTATAGAGTTGTGTACATTTCCTCCTCCGCCTGACGCCATCTGTCGACTGGAGATCTGCCTCTGCCCCATGAAGGCAGAAATCTACCTGACGGACCCAGATTTCAAGGTATGTCGCAGCCACTGGTTAGTTATTCTTCAAATTGAGCTTTCAATGTGACATAATTATTGGGAAAATACTGAATGTCCTCTTCCAACATGAGAGTAACATGATTGTAGTTCCAGTAATCCAAGATTAGATTTACAGATAGCAAATAAGCATGACTCGGACAAGATACGTCTTAGGATAGTTTGCTTGACTCTTTACTTCAACAAAAAGGTATCAAATACAAACACGTATTTCCTCAGGTCAAAAACTATGTTGCTCTGTGATTCTTACTCCTTCTCACACCCCCAATCACCAGCAGCTGCCGTCGGCTATAACGTCTCGTAAACAAAAACAGCTGCGGTCGTCTATGCAGTCAATTTCACACGGCTGGTTCAAATAAATGATATGATAGCACTAATAACAATGGATTATAATATTCAAATATATCTAACTATACTTTTTAACATATGGCTCCTACAATGATAACAAAGGTATCCCAACTGTAGCTGTGTACATGACATTACATTACATTGCATTTAGCTGACACTTTTATCCAAAGCGACTTACAAGACTTACTTACAGGATGTGTGATTACCTAGAAGAGCATCAGGACTGTTTGAGGCATATGATAGCTATGTGATTAACATGATGATTCAGCCTCTATGGAGAGAGACATGTGACAAGCATGATCATTTCTGACGTGGAGCTAATCTGAAGTAAACATTGAATACTGCTTTCTATTCCTCCATCGTGTGACTGTGTAACTCCCTCTCTTGGATATCAGCATGTGAAGGACACTGGCCGTTTCTCAATCGCGAGTAAACCTGCTGCAGAGCAACTATTTCAAGTATACTACCTCATCGAGTGGCGCCGAAGGACTATTTAAATGCCCAGCATTCTGCGCCAGTCTGACGTAGGATACTTGAAATGGTTGCTCTGCAGCATGTGTACTCGTGATT